AAAGGGGAAAAAAAAAAAAAAAAAAAAGCCTATAGCTCCCCACGAATAGATTGCAGCTGATTTCTTGGGAAAAAAAAAACAAAAAAAAAAACGACACTCAGAGCACGGAATGACTTGGTGGGAAAAGCCTCAAGGCTGGGAGCAGGGGCGAGGTCCCACTACCAAAGAGGATTGGATTGAACGCCTGAATCTGGAGGTGTTTGAGGACGGATGCAGAAAACCGTGACTGATCTGCTTTTCTGCATCTCCGCCAATAATCTATCCAGGTTCAGTTTCGTCGTTCCATCCACGTTGCTAGTGGGACCTAGCCCCGGAGGTTTGCCTCCTGACGACGACCGCGTCCTTTAAAATGGCAGTCCTGAGTTAATGGACCACGTGGTTGTATTCTGATTTATCAAAGTCACGTGCACAGAAGCATGTCCATGGCCCTCGCTTCTTCTTCTTCTTCTTCTTCTTCTTCTTCTTCTTCTTCTGCGTCGATGCCTGTGTTGGGTGTGTGTGACTGAGTACACCGCGTCGCGGGGAAACCCGAGTACCCGTGCTGGGGTGGGGGTGGGGCTAAGTGCTCATCTTGGGGCTTAACTTTCACCCAAGTCCACTTAGCCGTTTGGTTGAATGCCAGCCTCCTGACCGGGAGGACGAGTGTTCGATTCTTGGGATTGTCACGAGAAGCGTAAAATTCAAAAAATTCTTCTTTCTTCTTCTTCTTCTTTGGCGTGCATTTTATGTGCTAGATTTGAGGTGGAGTTCCTCAACTCTCTCGGGAGAGATAGGAAGCTGGTGCAGGGGGTGCGGCTGGTGGATGATGTACTTTGGTAGTCACATGGGATTTGGCGGACCCAGAAGGGTATGCGACAGTGGAGAGAATCCAGGAGCGGTTTGCGCGGGCTTACGGTGAACAGTTGCAGCTGGTGCGTACAGATGATGGTTCGAACTCCTGGGATTTTCTGGGTACTAGAATTACAGCGCTACCGTTTCCTACCAAGTTTCTCATCAGGCCAATGTATAAGAATCATGGCTGCAGGGAAAACGGTGTTCTCTGCGTCAAATGTTTCCAGGATTTTGTCTCTTACTCGGATAAAAAGCCAAAGGCCGGTGCTATCACGGCTGCTCTCCACAGGGTCCAGCAACATGCTAGTGACCCTTTGGCGGTGATTACGCCGGTCTTGGACATGAGCTTTGAGCTTAGGCGCCGGGATTATTCCCCGGCGCTCTTCTTCCACACCTTGGCGAGATTCGCCAGGGTAACCAGGCCTTTCGGTGAAGCATGGCAGATGCTCACCGAAGGGATGGTGGGATTTTCCCAGAGAAAGCAACAGCACCTGCATCTGGCTGGGCGAGCAGCCGCGTTAGGAACAGAGTGTGGGTAGATAGGGTAGCAGAGATAGGGTACAGTGGGTATGAGCAGGCGGTCAGACTGTATATAAGTTCCAGGTAGTGTTAGACCCCGGTACCGCGCAGTACTGGGTTGTACATCAGAAGTTCCAGGGACTGATGAGCTGCGCTGTACATCAGAAGTTCCAGGGACTGATGAGAACCCCGGTACCGCACAGTACTGGGCTGTACAATAGGGAAGATGAAACCTTTGTAATCTAGGGGTTTGCATTATAGTAGCGGAGAATGGGCAATTTAGTGGGGGGCGGCTAGCTCCCGGTGGAGTAGTAAGGGAAGCGCGGGCTAGGAAAATGGTCCCAGTATCCGGAGATACCGGGTTGTATATTACTGCGTCCGTAATGGGCTGAGTCCCAGGTGGTTACAGGTCTGGAGGTGTCGCCGGGACCCGTAGGGTTGGTCCCGACCGGGTATGAAAGGTGGCGCGTAGGGCGCGCAACAGAACAGAAATACGGAATGAGTGGTCTGTTAGCAGTACGGCCGTAGCTGCGCCTACTTCGCATTCGAAGGACTTCGACCCCCGCGCGGCCAATGCACGTGGGAAAAGGTAGACCCTGCACGTGTGGGTGCACGCGTGAGGCATGTCGGGGGGCTGCATGTTTTTCGCATCTGGGCATACTTGTTCTGTTACAGCAGAGCCTAGCACGTCGGCCAGGCGGTTGCAGTCGCACGTCCCGTGCAGCAGCGTGCGTGGGTAATGTGTCAGTATATGTGTAGACGGCAAGGCCAGAACGGCCCTCTTTGCTCTGGGCGGAAAGTACGGGTGGATGCGGGAGTGTGGAAAGCCTCTTGATAAGCGCTGGGGCGCAACCAGCCGAAACGCGTCGAGGATTGTGCGCGTTTGAGCAGCAGATATGTCCGCGTGGTTATGAAAGCTCTGTTTGAAT